TGCAATCCTTGGTGATGGCTCTGTCGTGACCTGGGGCCAGGCTTTCCAAGGTGGAGACAGCAGTGAGGTGCGAGATCAGCTGAAGAGTGTGCAGCAGATTCAGGCAGCTGATGAGGCCTTTGCTGCGATCCCGGCGGATGGCTCCGTCGTGACCTGGGGCCGTGCTGACCGTGGTGGAGACAGCAGTGCCGTGCGAGATCAGCTGACGAATGTGCAGCAGATTCTGAGGCCTTTGCTCCAATCCTCAGTGATGTCTCCGTCGTGACCTGGGGCCATCGTGACCATGGTGGTGACAGCAGTGCTGTGCGAGATGGGCTGAAGAATGTGCAGCAGATTCAAGCAACTTGCGCGGCTTTTGCTGCGATCCTTGGCGATGGCTCTGTTTTGACCTGGGGCTATGTTGACTTCGGTGGTGACAGCAGTGCAGTGCAAGATCAGCTGAATAATGTTCAGCAGATCCAAGCAACCAGGTTCGCCTTTGCTGCGATCCGTGGCGATGGCTCCGTCGTGACCTGGGGCGATGCTGAGTGTGGTGGTGACAGCAGTGCAGTGCAAGATCAGCTGAATAATGTTCAGCAGATCCAAGCAACCGGGTTCGCCTTTGCTGCGATCCGTGGCGATTGCTCCGTCGTGACCTGGGGCGATGCTGAGTGTGGTGGTGACAGCAGTGCAGTGCAAGATCAGCTGAAGAATGTTCAGCAGATCCAAGCAACCAGGTTCTCCTTTGCTGCGATCCGTGGCGATGGCTCCGTCGTGACCTGGGGCGATGCTGAGTGTGGTGGTGACAGCAGTGCTGCGCGAGATCGGCTGAAGAATGTGCAGCAGATTCAAGCAACTGATGAGGCCTTTGCTGCGATCCTGGCGGATGGCTCCGTCGTGACCTGGGGCCATCGTGACCATGGTGGTGGCGGCCCGGCTGCGCGAGATCGGCTGAAGAATGTTCAGCACATTCAAGCAACTTCGCAGGGTTTTGCTGCGGTCCGCAGCAATGGCTCCGTCATCAGCTGGTAGCAGCACTGCTGTGGGAGAAAAGCTGAAGAGACTTGCTGCGATCCTGGGAACGGCTGAGACGTGACCTGGGGCTGTGGCAACTTCTGTGGTGACAGCAGTGCCGTGCGAGAGCAGCTGGGCAACACAGAACTTATTCACCACGCGACACCCGTGTAGGCCTTACAACACTTCTTTCCATTATTGAGGCCCCCACGCGACCCTTATGTGGCATTCTTTCATCGAGCACCCCTGTAAGCTTTAATTCGAGCAAATGGCTTTTGAGGTTTAAGGATCGTGTTGAAGCCCTACACGACGTCTTTGCAACTCTCTGGCCCTATGACATACCCTATTTGGCTCTCCAATACCCAACCTTTTAACTTTTTGGGTTCTTATAGTTTAGTAGTAATCGGAAAGTTTGACCTTGTGTGTCTGTGGCTTGTTGGGGAAGTCCCTAAGCCCTAAACCCAAAACCCTAAACCTAAGCCGTTTAAAGCAGAAGGTCCTGAGCACTTGGTAATTGGTAGTACTTTCCCCTTGTACTGTATATGGGTAGTTCTCTAAATTAGGATTTGAGGGTTCCTTTGATAAGGGTGCCGTACTATATTGGGGCCCTAAAAAGGGACCCTGATTTAGAGAACTACCCATTTAATATAGGGGCCTTTAAACAATTACCTATCACATTTGGGGGGTTCCTTATTCTAATTATAGTGTACAGATACCACCAAAACCCTATTCTGGTTATCAAGGCCCTTACATTGAACCCTTAACCTTAAACCCTTAACTTCTATGAACCCTAAACCCTAAACCCCCTAACCCCAAAATTAAGCCTTGCTCTAATTATCAAGGCCCCTACGTTACCGTATACGCATGCATACCCTAGAACCCTCTTCTGACAACCCTGCAAAAGACTTACAGAAGCCTTGTCGACCAACAATATCTTTTGGGTCCTGGTAGGTTTAGGGGTTTTAGGGTTTATGGTAGGCTTTAGGGTAGGGTTTAGGGTAGGGGTTTAGGGCAGGGGTTGACTCAGTAAATTGGCTTAAGGTTGCAATATTCTTTTCCTGGATCCCCATGCCCTGCCAAACCGTGAATACGACGATGTATGTCAGGTCAGAACGTCTTTGTGGGAAGTGCGTGCCATTCAGTTAGGGTTTAGGGTTTCAGTAAATTCTTTGAAGCAACCCCTTGTTTGGCAAGCTTTCCTTTATTCTCACGGATCTTGTTGGATCGTCGTCCTTGATCTCGTGCATGACATCAGCTATGTCCGACTTATCCCTAGTGGCCCGAGCCTAAACCCACAACCCACAACCCAAAACAGAGAGGACCATAAGAAGCGCCAACGATGCCCAGCCATTGCTGTGTCCTACAACTGGATGTTGAGTCTGGTACGGCGAGTTTGATAGTAAAGCACAGAACATGCCCGCGACGGTGAATGAAGCTAGCGGCTAGATCAGAGATTGGCAAGAGCCAACGTTAGAGGCAGTTTCCTATTTACACAAAAGCACACTGACCTCGTCAGTCGCCAAAAACCAGGTCCATGCGGGGACAATCCCCAAGCCCAGAAACCCCCTAAACCCTGAATCCCTGAAAGCCTAAACTCCTAAACTTAAGACCATGCCTCGCCTAGAGTGTCCGAGTGTGAGCGCCGAAACCCTGTACCCTGAGGCTCGCAGGGTCGTCCTATTTTACCACATGTTCGATACTGTATTTTTCGTTCTAGTCTATTGTATTATATGGTATTGCATTGATGACGTATTATATCTACTGCACTATATTACATTATGTTTTCTTGTATTTCTATAATATAGTAGAGTATAGCATCGTACAGAATAGCATAGTATGGTATAGCATCGCATCGTCTATAGTTTATTACAGTTTACGATTTCATATTATATTGTGTTGTAATGTAACATGTTATGTTGTGTTATAACATATTACCTGCAGTTGTATATTTTGTAGTTTATCTCCCTCCACACGCAGGTGCTCCCTGAGCAGCGACGAGTGCATGCTCAGGTGCTGTCATGTAGCAAGTTCGTCGGCACTCAAGCATAGGAGGTATACTACGGTTTAGGATTTAGGTGTGTCGGGGTGTGGGATGTTTGCGGTTGAGTTGGTTTGCGGTTTAGGGTTTAGGGTTTAGGTACATGCAGTATACTCGCGCACCCTCAAACCTAAGCCCACTGCTCGGGCGTGCCAAAGTCGGAGAAGAGACGAAGGCCGACCCTATACCCTAAACCCTTAACCCTTAACCCTTAAACCCTAAGCCGGAGGATGGAGGCTTCGGGGTGCAGTGCTTTTGGCCTCAAGGCAAGCAACTTCTCTCCATCCCACAGCACCCAAGAACACGAGGGACAAAAACAGGCCGTAGCCCGGAGAGTGTAGTGGGCGTGGTAACTCTGTCTGGCAGACCTTGCCATTGAACAAGCCCCATCACTGTGTTTCCATAAACAACCCTGTCTGATGGGGTTGCTACTCCCGGACAAGTGGATGTTTCGCCGGCACAACATGGTTTACACATCGAGAGCAATGCAGAGGTCTGACCAGTTTTACTGTTATAAAAGCCCTATAAAGCCCCAAAGCCCGAAACCCTAAAATGCCAGAAAGCGCACTGCTACTTTGCAAGGCCTACATTAGGAGCGGCGGCCTTTAGGTTGTTCTGGGCAGAGAGCATGCAAACACAGTCTGCGGACGTGGAGGGAGAATAAGCTGGGTTGAGACCGAAAATAAACCCTAAACCCTAAACCCTAAAGCGTTCCAGGCTCAGAATGTCCAGCGCTCAAGCACCGCGGATGCCAGGTTGCCTTTCCTGCTGCGCCTGCGTCATGCAACGGCCGGCAAAATCTCACAGCTTGGGCCCTACTAGTAGCAGACTTCCGTGCTTTCTGCTGGATGAACCCTTGCATCGTGTCTACTGCCCTTTGTCGTGCAGGTGGGGCGGGCCTACCAGCACGAGCTACACCAGGAGACGTGGGTGAAGACATTTCTCTCTCTCTCTCTCTCTAATATAATATGTATCTAGTTATAGGTAGGTTATCAGTAAGTAGCTACAACCGAGGTTCAGGCTTACACTTACGGATATTCCTGCAGAATCCCCTGTGTGACGGTACTGTACGAGAAAATCTCACAATCCCTGGTCGAAGTAGCTGGGTAATCTCTGCGTCGTTTTTCTGTTTTGAGTGAGATGGTCTTACGTGCTCATGGAATTGGCTGTGGGACTGCTCTAGAGGTGGGAAAAGCAAGGAATATAGACCCCTTCATATCCAATCATAGTCTCCATATACTACCAGCAGTATAGAGACTAATTATGAGTGGGCAGAGTGTATATTCGAGTATAGAGCATATGGTCTCTATACTCGCATACCTGTACTACCTAAACCCTTCTTCCAAGTTTTGAGCCCCCCTGCATCACCTTGAAGGACGCAGTCGTTCCCAAGAGGACCCAGGGGACGATTCCCGAACCTCACACCCGAAAAGCATGATAGAATAGGGGCCTAAATGATTACGTATACTATTTCGGAGGTTGCTAATTATAATTACAGTATAGTGGGCCCCCAAAACCCTATTCTAATCATTAAGGCCCTATATTACCTCTTCAACGACCCCGACCCGAACAACAAACGCTGAACTTTAAGATTTGCATGATGCCCGAGACCATAAACCCTGAACTTCGGATCATAGGAGCCTGAATATGAATTAGGCAAAGGTTTAGAGTATATGTTAATGGTGGGTAGAATAAGGAGCCCCAAAGCTTAAAATAGTCTTGGTCATTATTTAGGCCCCTTAACCCCAAAGCCCGAATCCCTTAACCTTACATAAACCCTTAAACCCCTGAACCCTAAACCCGAAACCCCTTCCCTTGGTGAGCCTTTTGCTGAGCCAGTATGGCTACAGACCTTGCCTGGCTTGTCCGAGTGTGAGTGTCAAAAAGCCCGAAACCCGTAGCCTTGGCTCAAGCCGTTTCGGCTCGAACGTCGGCCCAAAACCTCCGGTGTGGTATTGCGGTCGCGGCTATGACTTGGCCCACAAAGGTGGACCGGGCTTATGTCGTATGCAAGCACTGCACGGGCCAATGGATCTATCAGGACCGTATCCACAAGTGGCCGGAGTGCAAGGCATGTGGGAGACAGTGGGGCGTCCCCGCTGCACCCCAGCGACACTCCCTCCCCAGGAAGCCTAGGGGCGGAAGTGAGGCTCCAAAGCAGAAATGGGGTAAAGCTGGGGGATTAGTGCGCAAGTTTTGGGACCAGTTTCCCATGGATGTGCAGACCGCTTTCCTGGCGGCAGGCTGGCAATCAGGTGTGGTCGACCCTCCACCGGGTCTCTCCCCGGAGAGCCAGGGGAGTCAAGGATCCAGTCAGACCGGCGCTGAAAAAGAGGACCAGGAAGCTGTGCACCAATTATGGGAAAACGCGGATCCCATGCAGCGTGAACTCCTCAAAAAGGCGGGCCTTGAGCCGCCCAAGGAACCACAGAAAGGCCTGGAGGAGCTCTGTAGACAGTACGCGGCTGATCTACCGCCGGCTGTGAGGGCGGCCCTTACAAGCCCGGTGGAGCCCCCAAAGCCGAGCCCTAAAGACGAACTGTATCAGATGTTGAGCACCTACACATCGGCGATGCAGGGACTCAAAACCTTAATCCAAAAGAAGGCTGCGCTGCAACTTCGGATTGACAAGACCAAGGCCACGTACAGCAGCTTGCTTGAAGACATGAAAGACATGTGCCGCAAGGTCGATGATCAGAATGCTAAGGTTGAGGAGTTGCAGAAAGGATTGCAGCACCAGGTGCCGACACCAACTGATTTGCAGGAGCCCGGCAAGGGAGCGCTTCAGGTAGATGAGGGCCTTCGGGCCCTGGAAGCAGCCGGAGTCACTTTGAGCCCCGAAACTAAGAAAGCTTTCGTGCAGGCCCTTACCCAAGGGAGCCAGCCTGAGAAGGATGACAAGCCGGGGAACGGCAACGGGCCACCGGGACAGGACATGCCAGCACCAAATGGACAGGGAGGCTTTGGCCCGGTGCGCAGTCCCGGAAACCATGGTGCGCATCCGTATGGGCAGCAGGCTGCAGAGTAGGGGTTTGGCGAGGGTGTCCCATGGAGGACCGGGAACACTGACTCGCAATTTAAGACGGGGTTCGCAAGTAGAGCCTATGTCTTGAAGTTGGCGCCGCTGCTGATTACGAGACAAAGCTTGTACTTGAAAGGGGAGGCGTCCTCCTTTTCACAAGCGGAGGAGGCAGACCAGGTTTCAATGCATCAACCTGAGTTGTTCACTGAGGGGAAGAAGGGGACCCTTTGGTGCAAATCCTGTGGGGTACTTTTTGTTCCAGCCGAAGAGCTGGGTTGGACCAGAGTGGTCCGTCGGCGCACAGTGCAGATGTGCGAATTTTGCGAGTGTCATAGGTCCACCCAACAAAGGAGTCATCGGGAAGATACGGACACAGCGGAAGCTGACAGCATTGGGAACGGACGGTGGGGACGCTGTGAGCGGGGTCCGGTTGCTAAGTCAAAGCCCCCGCGGAAGCAGCGGCGCAAGCGAAGAGTGCGAGATGAATGGCCCAAGCTCCTTAAATCCTTGAAAAGGCACAATTGAGCAGCATGGCTGACCATGAAAAGGAAATCGTGGAAATTGTCACTCAATTGGAGCCGGAATTGGAAGAAGGAGACCTTGCCTATTGGTTGTGTGATCGCATGCTTGACCTCCTCGCCCGAAGGGCAGAGGACGCTACGGGATGTGTGGAGGCGTGTAAGGATGTTATAGCGCACGCAGAAACGGGGAGGCGTCCTTCCGTTTTCCACATCGTTAGTGCCAATGTAACTCGGTGGAGGAGTGAGGTGAAGCAATGGATGGCAGATCAACGGGCAGGGGTGGCTTTGGTACAGGAGACTCATCTTCTGGACAAGGACGTGCCGGCAGCGCACAAGGGTGCGGAGGCTGCAGGTTTCCGAATGTGGATGGCGAACAGGCAGCAGCGGTGGAGTGGCTGTTCTGGCAAAACGCCACCTCAACTTTCGTTTCCTGGACAGCTTTCAACTGCAGGGTAAGGGGTTTGTGCTGGCGGTTGCCAGATTTGCTGGTTCGGACGTCGTTTTCGGCAGTCTCTACCTGGAAACAGGGCAAGACTTAAGCACACCCACCAATGCCGCCATCCTGGCCAAATTGGTGGCAACACTGCAAGCCTTGGCTGTGCCGTGGCTCGTTGCTGGTGACTTTAACTGTGACTTGGACACCATTCGGCAAACCCGGACTGCTGAAACCACGAACGGCGCTTTCATAGGTGCAGGGGAGGCCACTTGCAGCACAGGCGGCCAAATTGATTACGTCTGGGTCCATAGACGCCTCCAGGGACTTACGGAAGTCAGTGTTGATTGGGAGGTTCCTTGGCGGCCGCATGCGGCACTGCGTGTTCAGCTGCATTGGGGCGTTGGACAGCTACCAATGCTTCAGGTTCCAAGGAAGCCGGCTGTCAGGGCCAAGAGGGAGGCGTCCTTCTCTTGGTCCCCGGCCCCTTTTGTCCGTGTCATGCCGCATGTACAAATCAACCGCCCCACCCGATGGATGGCAGATTTTAGCCACAGCGTTGAGTGCTCCTTTCTGGAGCATGGGGGCGGGGGCCGGGGCTGGAACCTGGTTTGGGTGAGGAAGCCCCTTGCACCCCAGCAGCCGGAGGGCACACAGTGGAAAGGCAACCTTGCTGGTTTTTGGAACCGTCTGGGGGTTTGGTTGGTTTCTTATCCGGGTAAATTCCCGCCCGGGGTTCAGGCAAAGATTCAGGAACACCTGGTCAAGGTGGCCGACAACTGGCACGACGAAAGCTTGGGCATTACGGCTGGGGAGTTTGCGGACAGGATGTGTCAAAACCTTTCGAACGCAGGACGGCCACAAGTGCTGGCCGATGTGGTTAAGGCACAACTGCGGAGTGCCGTCAAGAAGGACACGCAGGAACGCAACCAAAGGTACCAGGCATGGCTTGCCCAGGCTACGTCTGGTCACATGAGAGCTCTTTGGCGGGCACTCAAAACCCATGAGGCCAAAACCCAGCGCCCATACCAGACCTTTGGCGCGGAAATCCGGAGCCACGCCCGCAGAGCGGGGTGGTGGGAGATTTGGTGTGCTGCGGACACAGGCCGCGATGCTGGTCAGTTGCGAACCCTGAGCACACAGGTGCGTATAGCGGCGCAGGCGCAGGCGCAGCATTTGCGGCCAATCAATTTGGAAAGAGCCCATCGCAAATTCCGGACCATTGCTCGCAAGGCCTGCGGGCCGGACGAATGGACGGCTGATATGCTGAGGGCGCTAAATCATGATGCCGGGACTCTCCTAGTTGAGGAAATGATGCAGTGGGAGCGGGAAGGAGTCCTTCCCGACCAGCTCACTATGGTGCGCTACACACTCTTACCAAAGTCGGCAGAGGATGAGCGGCCCATAGGTTTAACGAGCTACCTCTATCGGGCCTATTGTCGTCTCCTGTGGGACTTGTACGCACAATGGCTCGAAGACTACCGGCGAAGTGCGCCATGGGACCGAGCCCTTCCAGGGCACTCGTCTCTTGACACAGCGCTTGCTAGAACAGCGCGTCATGAGGTCTGCAAGCACACGCGCAAACATGGGGTGACTGCCCTGATTGACTTGTCCAGTTTTTACGAACTGGTTCCTCACACAGTCTTGCTGAGGGAAGGTCTTGAGAAAGAGTTCCCACCGGTTTTGCTCAATGCCGCCGCCCAGGCTTACGGCGGACACCGTTTCATAGAAGCGGAAGGTGTCACTGCGGCGCCAATTCGGACAAGTCAAGGCCTGATCGCCGGCTGTCCACTGGCCCCAGGCTTGAGCAAGATCATCCTTCACAACCCCATGCAGGTGCTTTATGACTCCAACCTTCTCACTCACCAGGACCTATGATCGACGACATAGGGCTAGACGTAATACACCACAGTCCAACGCAGGCCGCCGTTCGGAGTGTGAAAGCCTTTCGCCTCCTGAAAGCTGAACTGGAGGCGTCCTCCCTGGTTTGGTCCAAGAAAAAGACGGTTTTCGTGTGTACCTCCGGGGCAGCAAAGGCGGCAGTGGAGAAGCTCAGGACGAGCGAAGATCCGCCCATCGCTCTCACCTCAACCGACCTTGGGTTGGATTGTGGCGGTGGCGTCCGCCGCAGAGTGACCAAACACAGGTCGCGCCTCCACAAGGCGGCAGGTATAGACAGAAGCGTCTGAGGGCCTTGGCGCCCAAAGACAGACGGGTCAAAATCAGGATGGTCAAAGGTTCGCTGCAGCCAGTGGGCATCTATGGCCACCAGGCAACAGGAGTCACACCGCGAAGGGTTAAGTGGCTTCGTTTCTTGTGTGCTGAGGCTCTGGGTCGCATGAAAATAGGCTCATTTGTGTGCTGGAAGCTAACGCCGGCCGCACGCGCGATCCGAAGGAGGTCATCATGGCACAGCACGTCCAGGCACACAGCCGCATGATGCTGCAATGGCCACGGCAAGCGGAGGACTGCCTCACGAAGGCCTGGCAAAAGGTGACTGGGCCTTTAGGGGCCATGGCGACTTACCTTAAAGAACTGGGCTGGGAAGCGCAAGGGCCCCGGCACTGGTCAATCAGCGGACAGACGTACGACGTGGCATCCGCAGAGGGGCTCCATGCAGTGGTGTGGCATCTCAAAAACGCTATACAGCAGCAGAGGTGGACAGCGGTTGCTGACACGCCGGGAGCAGACGAAGCCGTCAACGGCATTGATTGGCTAGCCGCCAATAAGGCAGTCAAACACCTCGCTCCTCTGGAGAAGACGGCTGTCCAGACCTTGTGGCAGGCAGCGCTCAAAGCAGGACCGGGGGCCTTTTGTCAAAGGTGCCAGGCAGAGGCCTCACTCCAGCATGTTCTATATGAATGTGCCATGTGGGCTGGGCACGCAATGCCTCCCCCGAGTATCCTGTCCATGCAAGCACAAGGCTGTCATACCAGCCTTTGGTTGCGCGGGCTTCCAGCCAAACGCGCCTTCTACGAAGTAGACTCGAGTACGGAAATCCAAGGGGTTTGGCCAGTGCCAGACCTGACTGATGTCCGGTTTGCCACGGACGCCACAGGACCGAAGGACCCGAGAGAAGGCCCGGTCATCTGGGGCGTGATTGCCTTTCGTGTCCTTGAAGGGGACGAAGAAGGTGATTTGCACACAGGCCGAATCCAAGTGGTGGGGTCCATCACGGGTGCTGTGTCCCATGAACAGACAGTTTTCCGCGGCGAGGCCGCGGCGGTCTGCGCAACTGTCTGGGCGCACCCTGGTGAGGATGAGCTGGACATCACTTTGGATTGTGAAGGCGTCCTTCGCAGGATCCACAAGCGAAACCCAGGACATAGTAACCGGGACCTGTTGGACCCGGTTCGGGCCGTCGCACACCGGTTGCGATTAACGTGGATCAACTCACACCTTGGTAGGAAGGCCTTCGCAGAGAAGTTTGGGCATGACGACGAATGGCGTCGACAGGCCAATTTTGTGGTTGATAAGCTGGTCAAAAACCGCGCCCTGCGCATAGCGGGCCCGACTGCACAAGCTAGTGTCAGGATGTGGGACAAGCAGGTGCAAGAAGTGCTGCAGTTTCTGGGCCAGCGGGTTTCTTTTCTCCTCACCGCAGATGAGGCGGACAAGGCGGAGGTCCTGTTCCAACCTAAAGCTGATCGGCCTGGCGGGGGAGTGCGCCACGCCACTACGACAACAATCGAACCCAGGCTCAGTCGAAGGCAGCAGCTCGAGTCGCTAATCCAAGACGGCACGCGGGGAGGGCACTGCTGGCAGGAATCCCACCGTGGCAGCACAAACCTCACCATTGCTTGCCTAAAGTGTGGCTTGTATGTCCAGCAAAATGACAACGCTTGTATCTTTGATAGGAAAACAAAGCAACCATGTGTGGGACAAGCCATGGACGCTCTGCCTGGTATGCACCCTTCGCACAAGCTGGAGAGCTTGGGTTCGGCTTTCATTTGCATCCAGTGCAAACGTGTCCAGCGCGTCGGGTTCCGCACCCTGGCCCCGGTTTTTGGTAAACTCTGTGCCCCTACTCAAACCTGCAACAGCAAGCTGTC